ATCAGCAGATTATCAGAATAAGCTACTTATCTAGATAAGTTGGATAAGCTGCAGCTGCCTCAAACAGACCCTTAGAAGAAATATAATATTATTACCATAATTTATGAGTAGAAGTACTTGCCTCCAACCTTCAAACACCCTTAATCATTGTCTCTAATAGTTAAACGTCTATAATATCATAAAACTAATAAAATTTAAAAATATTATTTAGTTATGCCTAACCAATTTTTAATTAAAAATGTTATTTTAATTGTTGGTTAGAATCTTTCATTTTAAGCATACATGTTACTTTTTTTACGATAAATATTATAACTGTAATCAATATATATGATTTATATTAAATTTTATTCAATATCCAATCAATCTCTACTCCAACTTGAATAATTACTTGTAAAATTAAATTTTATTTTTCATATAAATACTTCAATTTTTTCACTAAAGTAATTTAATTTCATAATCGACTTAAATTATTTAATTGAATCATACATCGATACCTAATTTCCATTACTAATCCTAAAAAAGCTCAAAAATGAGTACTACAAGTAATAACTAAAATTATCATAAAAAACTTACCTCTTGGCTGCCTCAACTCAGGTGAAGAACACGGGGAACAAATATTTGAGTTACAGACGTTAATTCCACTCACTGATCAAGTTTTTGAGCAGGGAAGCTAAAAAAGCTACGCTCTCTTCTACCTCGCTCGTGTGCTCGTGAGACACACAAGCCCAACATCGATGCTTTGTCTTCCTCCCTCAAGCTGCTCGACGATGCCCTTCATTGCCATTAATCCACTTGTGCGCTCAAGAGACACTCACAAGCGATCGGCTCGAGCCTCAACCCAAGCCCACATTCGCTTTCGATCCGCACATTAATTTCTCATGTTATTGTCGTGGCTCGCACATAACACTTATCGTGTTCTTCCTCCTTCCTCCTTCCCATTTGCTCAACTGCAAATTACGCACGTCTAGTTTGTTAGTCTCCCCTGCATTATCTTCTCTCTTGCTCTCAATTACGATCCAGAGCATCGAAGCCTCGGTCCTCAATTAGCGAGGCGGTATAGAACGGCCCAAATTGCTAAAGTGTAAGCCACCTCTTGCCTCATGTATCGATAAGTATCAAAAATAGAAGAAGCTTCAACGCTCTAGATTCAACAATGATATATAAAAACTAATTCTATCAGAAGGTAATAAAAAAAAAAATTAGATTTTACCATCTTATAATAAACTTATGTCGTTTCTACCAATGAGATTTCATTTGATATAACTTATAGCAAGTAATGCACATAAATTTTTCATGCATTATTGCACCTCAAAAATTTTATCTAATCTAATCAATTAATCTGAGTTAATCATTCTCTTATGGACATGGCAAACATCAATTTACAGTGCTGGGTGCACTAGATCAAAATACGACCCAAACTTCTTCTATCAAACAATTAAAATTAGATTTATTAAATCTACGTGAGAAACCAAAAATAAAAAAAATATCATGTAGACATCACGCACTTCACGGACATCAACTAACCAAAATGGATTTCCGAATTCTTATTTGTAGGACCTCCCTTTCTAAGTTCAATTAGAAAAACAAACAATTTTAAAAATTTTGCATAAATTTATTCCTCTTGAATTACCTTATGACGAGGGAGCGCCTGCACGGGATCTACAATCTCATTTTCACAAAATGCTGCATTCCTAGATGTTTCGCCGATCTCGCGATCCAAAATGTGGGATTTCTGCAATTCCAGGATTCTGCAAGAGGATCCCGTGTGATTTAGTTTAGCTCATGAACAAGTGCAGGAACCTCATTGACCTCCGTACCACACCATTTCATCGTCTTCCTCTCTGTATTGAGGAGAGATAGCCATCGATCAACGCCAAATATGATGTCCAACAGCATATTGTGCATCTCGCCCCTTCCCAACACCGTCAAACTCATATATTATCATTTCCTTACTACTCCACAATCAGCACGGTGCTAAAATCACTTCCTAAACACCTTCTAGAAGCTCTAGAGCGGCCATCTAGTATTAGACATCGACAAACAATTTTTTTTAGGGGTTTGTCATTACTACACCTAGACCAATTATCCATACAACTTATCACCCCCACAAAAAAAAAATTTTGAATCATCCACCTAACCCTAACCCTAAATCATAATTTTCTTTTCAATCAAAATTTTCATTGGAAGAACAATATGTCATGCCTCCAAGGAGAAACGCTCGACAAGGTGTAGCACACTATGTAAGATATGCAACACGAAATCCTCCAACTACAATAGAAGCTAGCTACTTTTGAAAGGAGACAATCCAGTGGTATCACCCATAATCAAAACGACGACTCACAATATCTAAAGGAGGAAGAGATTTCCTTCCATCAAACAGTTTCTAATGATGAACTCATATCACACCAATTTGGCATAGAATATCATGAGAGTCCAGGATGTTAAAGTAAATATTGACTTGTAGGATTTTAATGGTCGCATGGATCCGGACTAGTTCATTGAGTGCCTTCAGAAAGTGAAACAGGTTTTTGAGTATAAAGATGTTCCACCTGACAAAAGGGTCAAGCTAGCCGCTATTAAGTTCAGGAAGAATCCTCCCTTATGGTGGGAAAACCTGAAATGTATTCGACAATGGGAAGGGAAAAGTAAGCTCACAACTTGATCTAACGATAAAAATGGAGTTGCAACGCAAATGTCTCACCTACATTACCAGTAAGATATATTCATTAAACTTCATTGATTAAGCCAAAGAGAATCTTTTGTGGAGTACACAGTTAAATTTAATCAACCCATGCTGAATTGTGAGTTGGTGGAACCAGAGGAGCACACAATAGTGAGCTATCTTGGATGATTGAGATCGTCTATTAAGAATGTAGCGCAACTGCAGTTGTATTGGTCCTCACTTGATGTATAGAGCCTAGCTTTGAAAGTGAAGAAACAGCAACGACGCCATATGACAGCCACACTTTACAAGGAAAGTTCAACCCCAAGATCAGATAGCAAGAGTACACGCAATGGAACATCCCAGCCGACCAAGCCTAAGAAAAAACCAATTTAGAGCATAGAAAATGGAAACCATAAGCACTCCTAAATTTTTCACGGCAAAAAAGTGTCTGAAGTGCATAGCTTTAGGCATATTGCATGTCCAAATAGAAGGGCGATCTCCTTCATTGAGCGGGGAGTAGTTGATGAAATGAAAATGGCACAAGAGACACTGAAGAAGGTGATGACAAAAAAGAGTATTAGCTTCCAGCTAATAAGAGAAAGATGTTAGTGATTCAAGCTAAGCCCGTGAGAGAGACTCCAAAATGATTAACATCAATTGTCCAAGAAGATAATGGGTTCGAGGACTCAATACCAAAAAAGGGGCAACCCTTGTCGAAGAAGTTGTTGGATATCCTGACCGACATTTTATCTCTTGGGTGGTTGTTCAATGGGAGTGGTTTAGCATGTCATAGATTTTATTCCAAAGTTGATTCCTCCAGTCAGACTTGTTTATCTGATGCGCCCAGCCAAGTACGAGGGATAAAATTATGTTCCATATTTAATGGCTCGAGGCTTGGTTCATAAGAATATTCATTTATGTGCAATTTCAACTCTAATTATGTCAAAAAAAAGATTACTTATTCTATCAAGACAGTATTTGGAATAAAATATGTTTCTTAGAGTTACATGGAATGGTCGTGAGCAGAAATTTTATAGTGAAGCTGCCTCAGGCAAGCGAGATAATAGCTTTGTTAAGATGGTGGTAGATTGATACCCAAAACCTCAAGAGAAGAAGGAGAAGCCTCTCCTAGCTAGGGTGCATGACGCAGGAGCATCCCGCAAAAGAATCCACAAACTCATTTCTGCGAGACAACGCGTTCATGTGAGTTTTGCCTACCTTATGATTCTAATCGCGAGATATCCGCAATTTTGGGATTTCGCAAGTGGAATTGATCCTATGCGATTCCTTCTATTGCGGAAATGTCAATACCGTGAACGTGGTATAGGAGAACGAGGAATTATCATCCCACTATCAAATTCACATGAACTTTTGCCTTTTTCTAGTTTATTTCCTATTTATTTTCTTATAATTAGGGTTTTTTCTAGCAACAAACTATTTATATATTTGTTTCTTCTATTTAGGAGGACTTTTTGTTATTGTTTAGAGAGACATTCTTTGTTTTATACTCTTCAAAGTGTTGTGTCATTTTCTTCTGCAAGTGGTGTATTTGTATATTGCTAAGGAATAGGTGATGGAACCTCCTCGACCTCTGTATAACATCATTTCGTCATCCACCTAGCCATTTTCAGCCGGAACAGTCGTTGCTTGACGCCGAATCTGTTGTCCAACAACAAATTAAACATCTTACGCCTTCTAAACGCCATCACATGTTATCATTCCCTTGCCACTTCACAACCATCCCCCGCTAAAATCGCTTCCCAAACACCTTCTACAAGAACGGTATCACCATAGTTTTAAGCATCTTCTTCATATTAACCAAACAGCTCTAATATCGCTGACGACTCTTAATTTAAAAAATAACATATCAAATGCTAAAGCCTATCAATTATGTATAGTCTACAGAGCTAACATAACTTCACACTTTTGGAAGAACATGTAATGTACTTCATAATCCTAGAAACTATAAGAATAAATAAATAAATAAACAGAAGTTCTACAGTCCTTGTACATTGTCCATCAGGAAAAGCGCCAATTAAGCTTTAAAAGCTCAAGCAACCTCTTTAAAGCCGATTTGTTTAATGAACCACATGTATGCCAAAAATACAATCAGGTGTCAAATGAAAAGGCTTTCAAAAATTTAAGGATGACGCCACAGTGCTCAACAAAGAAGACAAAATACAATCCACCAGACGTCATGTATAAATATTAACTGTTTCTTTAGATAAGAATACCATAAGACAAATGATTTATAAGCTAAATAAATAAACTAATGAAATCAGAATAAAATGGATAAGGAAATTCACATAAAATAAATTATAAAAGAAAAACTTACTGGAGGTCCATAAATAAGCACATGCCCTGGGAGGGGTATATTAAAATTGTTCATTAATTTTAGAGAAGACGGAGACAATAGAACTAACAATCCTGTGGGCATTACAAAATATTTAAGATTACAAGCTCTTAAAGTAAACCAGATACAAAAGCAGACATTAAGTGAAAGAGATACCTACTATTAATGGCGTCAGTTGCAGCTTTCTCCAACCAACTCAAAAAAGACAAGGTTAAATTCAACTTTCTGCCAAATCCACCTTCCACAACAGAATCAAGATGAAGAGGATCTCCAAACTTGAGCTTTTCAGATATTAGTTCCAGATCATTTATGCCACGAACATCTTTGTTTCCAGGATTCAAAGCAAGCTCATAACTCTGTTTCAGTTCATCATGACAGGATTCACCAAATGTTGCAGCTAAAACGTACAGAAGCTCAAATGTACACTGATCACTTTGCTTTTCCAAGTGTTCCTCAGAAAACAACCTTTTCGTTAATTTGGATCCCAAGTCCTGATTTGAGATTTCAAAATGAATTATGGTTTCTTTTGGCAAAATAATTGACGTAAGCTCCATTTGGCTAGTATGTAATGCAAGTTCTTTTAGCTGTCCAATAAACCATGACTGAATAAGAAACTTCTGATCCCATTTGTTATCCAGACTTGAGACACTTCTTTTATCTCCATTCACACAAACTTTGTCAAATAGAGATTCAAGAAAATTTTCATGTTGTCCCCAATCAGCAACCTTCATATTCGTCAAGGAATATGGCCCAGTAGATGTGCTATTTCTGTCAACATTTTGGCTACTCACGAGTGTGTTTAACTCATCCTTATCAATGCTGTCATTCTTTTCAGATTGCTTGAACCGGCAAGGTGAAAGGGTCAACAAAGAGACATCCTTCAATGGATTATTAGAATATTTCTTTATGCACACCCCTATCAAAAAGAACTTAACCAAAGTTTCTTAGAACATGAAAGACTGAAAAATCAATAGTCACCTATGTAACCATTACCAGCTAAATTTATATGAAATAACATAGAAGTTCCAAAGCACAAAACATAAATAATGATGCCTAAAATGCCCTTTAATCTATATATTAAGTAGAAGACATCACGATAACAATCCTGCCGCATCTGTAATGGCTCATTTAAGCAGTTTTCTTCACTCTAGAACTAAGTACTCAACCTGTTAGAATGATTCGGTGATGAGTAATTGTATGACACTACTACTTTTTCCTCTTTTTTTTTCTAAGAAGGTTTTCCTTTTACTCTCAAAATAGCAGTTGCACATGACAGAAGTCCAGTGGAAAAAGAATGCTAGTAAAATCAGCTCAATCATCACAAAAATGGGACTTAGGATAAAAAACAGTGTAAAAACTTATTAATTGTCCATATCTACTACAAAATAAGCAAATTTAGATTGATATAAGGCTCCAGCCAATGTGCAATCTAGAGAGAACTAGACTTCCATTTCCATATTTCGAACTCTCAAACTATACGTAACAATTAAAACATAAAAAGCAATCCATTATACCCAGAGGAATGAGCTAATACATATTTCACATATAATGCTATTGCAGTGTTAATACGTCATGTTAATTCAAAAGGTGCATGTTAAAATTAACAAGATAACGAAAATGAAAATTCATCACTCTTACATGAATGTGCACCAGCTCTTAGGAAAAGACGGACAGCCTTTGGAAGCATCACATGCCCTATGACCACTGTATCAGAATACAAAATTCGAAGAATTGTCTGTCGGGCTCTTCTTATATTAATTGATGAACCCCCACTATTCCCGTCACTATTGGCAGAATTGTTTACTTTTCCCTGTGTGGCATCTTTTAAACTTTTAATAGTCTTACGATGTGACAATCTAGGCTCGATAACAACCAACTGAAGATTATCAAATGATAGCTTTCCAGCTGTCTCTGGGTGTATGAAAACAGCAGAAGTGAGCACCACGCCCAACTCAACATCTCCAAACACTAATTTATGCACATGCTTCCCCTTTGAAGCTTGAACACGCAAAATGGCCTTTGTCTCCTTTTGTTCTGAACTGTAACTTTGTCCCTCTGTACAAGCACCAACTCTATTCTTCCGACTTTTTGGTCTGACGGCAACCTCAGTACCTGGCACGAGTTGAACTACGAAGCACTTAAAGTTAGCAAAAGTAATTAAAAATAAGAATTTCATAATCAGCATGCTTTAAAAAAGGTAGAATATTAAAAAAAATATATAATGTTGATGAGTGTAAGAAAGAATAATTAAAAAATAGAACATGCATTAATATGGGTGTGAATATTTTAAAAAATAAAGCAAGGAAATGCTAATGTGTGAAGAATACAAAAAATCATGTTCATTCAATGTATTCGATACAAACCAATATTTACATTGGTCTAACAAGATAACGGGCAACTACCCTCCAATTAGATTTCCTAATCCAGAAAACAATCTTGAACTCCTTCCTAAGCATAATTTCACGGGATCCTAATTTCTTCCTTGGCAAGAATTTGCAAGATTTTGGAACCCTTAATAGACATGAATCTATGAGTTCCAACACTCAACTTCAAGCCAGTGAATACATGTTTTCCATTCCTAGACAATGTTTGAAACACTATTTTGTTATCCCATGAAAAACAAATCCACAAATTATCAATCAATAAATATATAGGGTGTACAAATTAAGCCACCAATGTATAGCTTTCTTTAAAAAAGTGTCGGGCAAACTCTATATGCATCGTTCGATAGCATTCCACTAAACTATGAACTATATCAATTGCAAATTTATTGTTGAAATAAAGTTGCAGAAGGTTGTCTAGCTGATCTTCAAATTCTCTGGAAGGAATTTAAACCACAATAGTTCACAAATACCCTAAATCATTGCTCAAAACTCTATTTTAATTTTTCATCTTTCCAACACAATTTGCTTCTTACTTATGTATGTTATAAAGTACCCATCAAGAAAAGTGTAATATCCAAAGATTAACTTTTATCTACGATAGACCTGGCATAAACAATATTTTGTATGCACCTCAAAAACTAACCATGTGCATCTTTTATGCAAAATTCCCTTGTCTAGTGTACCTTCGTAATATTAAAATACTCAATTTACACCCTACATGTAAATGTTTACTAGACTATGCATAAATTAGTTAGTCAAACTAATAATATAAGTAGTATATGACCTTGTGTCAGAGAGATAGATGAGCCTTCACACCAGAATTGATACATCTCCTTATCAACGGTAACATTCTTCCCAACTTTTCTAAGTTTGTGAATAGGATTTGTTGGTTTATTGCCATTTAGCATGCCCATTTTTTCAATTCCTTGAAGCGAATAAAATATTTTTTATTATAATTATTATTTCTGTTGCAGTTATTATTATTCTTTATTAGCTTCCATTTCCATATTTATGTATTTCCTATGTGTTCTATTTTTTGAATTTATGTCTTTCCTTTATTTGGTCTTTCCTTTTATTTGAGTCTTATAAAGTGTATTTATACAATTTCTCCTGTTAATGAAAGTATGAAGCTCAATTCTCAAAAGTTAACATGGTATCAGAGTCATGGTTTTAACACAAGAGCCTCTACCCAAGCCGTCGGCCACCTACAAGTCATTCCCAGTAGGATTTCGACCGCCGACCAACTACAAGTCCTCTTTGTGTTTCTTCCTATTGCCAAACTAACCGCCAGCCTCTCCACGGGCCTTTAGTCGCCTGAATGTCGCACCACTTTCCTGCAAATTGCCATTGGGCTTGCCTTCCTGCCGCCAGACGCACCGCCGACCTCTTTATAAGCCTCCAGTCACCTAATTGTCGCACTGCCTCCTTGCAGATTGTCGTTGGGCATGCTGGCAAACATTTCCAGCCGCTTGATCTTTTCTCCAGCAGGTTCGTTCTCCCTGGTCACTAATCTCAATCCCTCCGCAGACCAAAGAACCAGAAATCGCATGAACTTTCTAATCATCACCCGTGAACTGAATGTTTCTAATTTTCTCCAATGGTATCAAGTTACGTTCTTGTTCTTCAAAGGACACAGGAAATATCTCACAGGTATGATTCATGAATCTCTTAAAACTGACCCAACGTATAAAGCGTGGGAAGTGAAGAATTCTATGGTCATGTCGTGGCTGCTTGACTCCATGGAAACCGCAATTGGTCGTTCATATATGTTTCTTTGTGTTGTCAATGCCCTATGAACTGTAGTTCGGGATACCTACACAGATTTACAGAACTCCAACCAGTTTCCAAGAAGATCTGCGAGGCGAAGCAGGGATCAAAGACAGTGACCCGGTAATACAATGACTTGGTCGCCATATGAATGGAATTTGATCTCTACTACAACTACATGTGAATCTCTGGTAGATCTTCCCTCTTTCAAAAAATTGTAGGAAAAGATCGCATGTCATTTCTGGCAGGCCTTAACAAAGGTTATGATGAAGTCTGGGTTGTATCCTTGGTCGGGATCCCCTTCCTTCAGCTCGTGTTGCATTCACACAAATTCGATGCAAAGAGAGTCGGAGACTTGTCATGCTAGGCACGTCCACTTCAATTAAATCATTTGTCTTAGTCACAAATAGTACTCAACACTCGTCCATGACACATCGAGTCACTAGCACCACCTATGATTATTGTCACAAATTCAATCATACTCAGTGACAAGTGTTGGAAACTCTACGGGAAACCGGCATACAAACCTTCAGCCAAATCCTCCTCTGCCAAGGGTAACACTACGACATCTGAATCTGCTACAGTACAACCAGCTCCCACTCGGAACACTCTATAATCACTCGACTCTCTTGAGAGTCAGATGGAGCAAATGATACCGAAGGAGGAAGCCAAAGCCCAAAAGAAACACAAATATTATTCTTGAAATTGAAATCGATTACAACGATGACTCTACAACAAAAAATAAAAGATAAAAAATACAAAACATAGGAGGACACAAGCAAACACCTCTAAGGTAAATTCAAAGGGCGATGGAGGTTGGTTAGGGTGAGTCGGGTTAGTTGGCAGGAGTGGGGCAGCAAAGAAATGCTAGGGGCCGCGTAGGAAAGGTGCAGAACTGTAGGGACAGAAAGGATGGAGGGTTGGACAACAAGTTTTGCGGCAGAACAACGGTAATGGGGGCAGGTACGAAATCTAAGGAGGGGAGACAGCAATATTGGACTGTAGGGGCAGGGTGGTTGAAGGCAGGGGTGGCGTCCCAGCTTACCGTAAGAGTAAGCAGTTGGGGAAAGAGCAGGGATGAAAGATAGGAAGACCAGTGGCTGCTGGAGGGGGAGGGGGAGGAAGAGTGGAGATGGTAAAAAGGAAGGATACAACACGATCTTGAAGGAGAATACAGTCGGAGCACCACCACCTCCTCGGATGCAACCCTAGAAAGCAAAACTCTCCAGACAAGAAAACTGAAAGTATAACATAGCAAAAATTGTCCTAAAATCTCTGTAAAAAGCAATATATATACTCTTGTTGACCTCGCTTTAGGTCGAGGTGTAGTTTTCCCCTCCTTAGTAGCCTAGGATATAGCCGTAAGACCTTTCTGTCGACTACTCCTAAAAAACTAGTGAAGGAGCCCTCCCCGTTAGCAATTCTGGATTTTTCTTCGCTCGACTTGACGTTCCATATAGTAGTCTTGACCGCTATTGCTTAGCAGGTAAGGCTACTCCGAATGAACTCAGGGAGCATTCCTATAGGACTGGCGGCCTTAGGATTGATTCTACTCATTGATTTGGCGCCGCTGCGCTCTCCGCCGTCCTGTTTAATCAAATTTGAGCCGAAATTTTCGTAGGATTCGGACCACGACGCGTTTTTAGCCCGATCGGTCCGGACGACTCCGGATGACGAAACAGACTGCGCCGACGCGTCCGGAAAGTCGATTTTGCTTAAGGAGGACGTTCGCTTCATTGCGACGGCGCGTCTTGGGGAAAATACCTATTTAAGTGTTCATTATAATAATAAATAATATTTTATTATTATTATTATTATAATTAATAACTTATATTAAAACCCTTAACCAA